GAACCAAAATGTTGTGATCTCATTTATGGACGACCCTTTCGTAGTTAAGTCTCACTGAAATCAATTCACTCTATAGTTTAACTGACTCTGGTAGTAACCCAGAAACTCTCCAGGGGGAAACCTTTGTTAGTTAAATTAACTACAGCTTGAAAACTTTAAATTGAAAAAGACCATAAAATTCTATCTTGTTGTACTGAAATTTAACTTATAATACCATATTGTTTACACATTTAAAAAAAAGGCACTTGGACATATTAACTGTAAGTATAATGTAGTTTTAAGAAAGTTAAAGCATAGCTAAAACTTCAAGAAAAACATATACGACTGGGTATTTCAGAAATAAGTTTTTATCAAAAAGAACACTAAAAACTAAAATATTAAAACACTTAAAACTTGGTTTAGGTATGTTTACACATCAATTTTGTATGACATGTTTGTTATTTTTTCTTCAGTTCTTCCTCGTAAGTATACACATAGCTAAGAATGGACAGCATTAACATAATCTAGTTACCGAACATAATTAAATCCTACCCATTCATCTAGTAGAATTTGTGTAGATTTGTTTCGTTTTTTATTAGTATTCTTGTTTTTTTAGTCTAGTTTTGTTTTGATTTCGCCATATATTATTTGCCAAGAGAAAGGGTGACAGAATGATTCACTATCCGGTAATATATGGGGATATTCGTGGAGTTGTCATTTAGCTTATTTGATGCATTCGTTCATGAGCATTTAGTATTAAGCATGGCGAATGAATGGCGGGTATTTAGGGTTGATCCAGGTTATGCGGTTTGATGGAGAGAAGTTTGTGTATGTTAGACAGCAGGACAATACAGCGTAGTAGCTTGAGTGGTTATTATTATTATTATTTTTTTGCAGATGTCAATTTGAGGTTAGGATTAGGGTGAAGGCTAATATATGGATGAGGGCAGGATTATAATTAAAGTCAGAATATGGTTTGAATTTCAGGTTCAGGGATTACTGTCTAGGCTATATATACCAGCCATAAAATAGCTAAAGCACCTTGTTAATTAACTATCATAGAAATTTAGGGTTCAGTTATAGGGATTTCAAATGGGCTCGGGTACAGTTATAGGGACGGTGGATGGGTTCAGAACAGTTATAGGGATTGTAGATGGGTTCGGGTATAGCTGTAGGGATGGTTGATGGGTTCAGTTAGAGTTAAAGGGATGCTAGATGGGTTCTTAGATAATCTCCTACATGTGGTGGATGGGTTTCAGGTACAGTTTTAGGGATGGTGGATGGGTTCGGGTACAGCTATAGGGATGGTAGATGGGTTCTTAGATGATCTCTGACATAGTTAAGTATTCTAATGCTGAGGTTATTTTCTGTCGGTATTACTTGTTTTTTTTTTTTGGAGTAAGTTTAGGAATAGGGTCAGGTATAGGGTTAAGATTAAGGTAAAGGGATACAGCTCGGGTTAAGTTAGCCATGCATACAGCATATTAGATCCCATGCGTTTATTGAAAGTACATGGTACAATTATAGGGAGATAGGGGAGCACTTGATTATAGAGAAAGGGGGGGGGGAAGATACAAATTAAGGCGAGACCAGATGCTTGGTATGAGAGAGTGGCTAGCTTGACCAATCGCATGACCTGCTTGTATGGACAGATAGTGTGTCCGTATGTTTGTGTGTATGTGTGTCTGTATATACGTCTGCGTTGCAAATACCATATACCGTTAAACTGCTACTAAACCATGCTTGAAATGTGTACATGACAATGTAAACAAAGCTAGATCTAACACTATATTACGTCAGCAATTTATCTTAGTATTTTTTTAGCTTAGTTAAGTATTACAGATAATTATAATAAATGAGTCTAAAAATAGATAAGAGCTAATTTAGGTTACAGCCATGAAGTGTTAAAATGTATCAAAAGGTAATTAGTTCACACAAATCGTAACCATGCCCCCTGCTATTATAATCTCATGGCGTGTCACGTGACTTTAATTTTTTTTTTTAATAAACTGCTTAGACTGGACATCGCTGACCAGCCCGTGGGGTCACGGATGACCAGCACGTACCAGAGCCTGGACGAGAGCAAGATGGGGCAGAGCCCTTTCGGGACTTCCTTCGGCTCACCGCCTCAAGGTCATTAGCCTGCTGGTCATTAGCCTGCTGGTCATTAGCCTGCTGTCGCATTTTGCTGCCCAATGACCTCACTGGATGAGTTGTCGCACGTGAAAAATTCTCATACCCCCCCCCCCCCACACACACACCTGGTGTGGCTGGCGACACCTGGTGTGGGCGAGTGTGTCGTGTTGCTAACCCAGGCCTTGACTGCATGAGTTTCCTAACAAACAAACCCCAGGCCGCATGTCGTTGTAACTAACGGCTTGAATTTTTTTTTCTGGCAAAGGCATGCTGATTTACCCCAAAACTAAACAGCTTAGGCTCTAGGCCTACTATTGTCGTTACTGTCCCACGATTTGACTTGAATTAAAATGGTGACCATGTGTTAAACTCCCTGCTTGATCGGAAGGCACTCGGGGTTTTTGTTTATATTGTTATAGGGTGGGTTCTCGTTTCCTTCTGATTGTCTTGTGTGGCCCTTGTTTTATACAACTTTTCTTGCGTGGCTCATCTTACATACCACTTGTCTTGTGTGATCCATATTTTGGATACCACTATGCTGAAACTAAACAACATTCCTACACGGAGCCCCCCCCCCTCTTCCTTATTCTATGCAGAACAGATCTTTCCCTCGCCCCATCCGGGCCGTCTCCCCCCCCCCCTTCACAGGACCACCCCCCTTGCACATTTCTCTCAGCCTTCCCCCCCCCCCCCCAGGAACATCGTTTAGTCCCCTGGATTATATCCATTAGACTTGGTGCCAGACATTCGTGCCTAGTGCCTGTCCTAGTTTTATTCTTTACACAGACAGGACAAACTGACCAAATATCGATAGATGAGAGATCATTCACTACCTGGACACCCCTATAATCAAGATCATTCGTCACGTGAATACATGTGATGTAGCATCAAGATCATTCATTACCTGGACACCCCTATAATCAAGATCATTCGTCACGTGAATACATGTGATGTAGCATCAAGATCATTCACTACCTGGACACCCCTATAATCAAGATCATTCGTCACGTGAATACATGTGATGTAGCATCAAGATCATTCATTACCTGGACACCCCTATAATCAAGATCATTCGTCACGTGAATACATGTGATGTAGCATCAAGATCATTCATTACCTGGACACCCCTATAATCAAGATCATTCGTCACGTGAATACATGTGATGTAGCATCAAGATCATTCATTACCTGGACACACTATGATCACGATCTTTCTAATTTCCAACAAGAAAATGTGTTCCTTCAATACCCTGTGATCTCAATAATTCGTTACATGAATGTATATTTCTGATACACGGAACATTCTTGCAGACAGGAGGGACCAATGTGTCAGCGTATGGACATTTTCCCCCGCATACCGGACCTGGTGTCTGTCACTGAAGGCAAACATATCAGTCAGCTCAGTCCTGTTGACTTGGTGCGTAACACGGGGGACGATTCACCGCCCGCGGGTGGTGACTGGCCGGAGGGGGTGGGTGGGGGGACACAGGTGATGGGATATGGAGTCCTATAGGATAAATGTATTATCTATTTAATATAGTATTTACGATATATATATATATATATATATATATATATATATATATATATATATATATATATATATATATATTTATATATATATATATATATTTATATATATATATATATTAATATATATATATATATATATATATATTAATATATATATATATAATATATATATATATTATATTATATATATATATATATATATATATATTATATATATATATATATAATATATATATATATTATATTATATATACAATAAATAAATATATAAATATATATATATATATATGATATTATATATTATATATATATATATATATATATATATATATATATCTGTTAGTGAATACTCTACTAATAGCACTTGAAGTTATACAATAAGATAATGATGATTATAATATCGGGAACTCTTTAATTTTTTTCCCCCGAGATGATTTGAGGTAGATGACGAGAAAAGTGAACTGTGTGAGTCAAGTATCCAAGGATGTGCTCACCTAGACACGCACACGGGCGCGTCTTATCAGCGTGTGTTGCAACAGTTGAGCCTCTCACTAGAACACTTGACAGTAGCTCAGCAGGCGGTGAATGGGTACTTAAGAAAGTCAAATAGCCCGGTTGAAGCTACTAGTGTTGTACTGTATTCAAACATACATCATAGTCAATCATGTTTTTCATTATATGCCTGGGGCTTCGATTCCCGTAGCTGATGTAAAGAATAATACAATTAGGATTTCCATCTTGTGAATGACTGAGAATTCCAAAGTTTAAATTTTTCAAAAAAAAAAAACAACAGTTTGGCCTAGTTTGTATATAACTGACGTCACCGTTTTATTTGCAGTATGTGAGAGGCTTGTTTAACTAGTTGTGAATTTTTGTCGTATACATATTGACATGGGCGAATCTAGCCCTGTTGCAGTGTGGGGTGGGTGGGGGGGGGGGGGGTGGGGGCTATAGACTTGAGAGGGCCACATAATGTGTACAACTAACTCCAACTCAACTGAAGCAGCCCTTGTGGTATTAAAGTAACAAACTGTTTCTTTTAGACATCTCTCCGGGGTGTGGCGGCATAAAGACAGTGCCCCCCCCCCCCCGAAGCACGCCCACCGCCCCACTCCCCAGACAAATTAGCCTTAAGACAAAATATAACATTTATATGGAAAATATATACTTTAAAACCATTGTCCGCCCCCGGAAGTTTCCAGTTCCTCCCTCCCCTCGGAAGTTTTGAGAGTTATATCCCCCCCCCTACCTCCCGGAGAGAAATATTTCCAAACGAAACCCTGGTCAGAAGGGCCGCTATAAGATGTGGTTCAGATGTCAAGCTATATCATTTACTAACGAGGTTGTTGTTCGGCTATGAACAAGTGCTAAAACCCAAACCTATTACCCCTGTCATTGTGTCTATAACTTTTCCATTAACCCACCCCTCACTATCCATCCAGCAATAACCGGAAGTAGTCGTGTGCGCATGTTCTGTTTTTTTTGTTCTAACTTTGAGTTCCTGCATGTTTATACTTTTTTATGTTGTAGTGTGGATCTGAATGATGCACCTAGCAACCCGTCCAAGAGCCCGGAAACAGGCGCCTCCCAGGGTTCCCTGCAGGAAACAGGCGCCTCCCAGAGTGCCGTGTTCGAGGAGCACGAGGGGGACACGCCCACCTACAAGGGCTACACCAACCCCAACCTCCAGTCCAAAAGTTTCCATCGTCTGCAGGAGAAGCTGGCGGGGGAGGACGAGCATAGTACGCATGCGCTTGTAGAATTAAACAGTCTTTTTATTTTCTCATCCTGACGCTCTTTCTTTATAGGATGTTTTGCTCTTTTCATCAGTTCTAGACACCTTTCATCAGTTCTAGACATCTTTCATCAGTTCTAGACACCTTTCATCAGTTCTAGACACCTTTCATCAGTTCTAGACACCTTTCATCAGTTCTAGACACCTTTCATCAGATCTAGACACCTTTCATCAGTTCTAGACACCTTTCAACAGTTCTAGACACCTTTCATCAGTTCTAGACACCTTTCATCAGTTCTAGACATCTTTCATCAGTTCTAGACACCTTTCATCAGTTCTAGACACCTTTCATCAGATCTAGACAATTTTTGCAACATTTTGACAATTCTTGAGCTTTTATCAAATCTTGATAATTTTCATCAAATCCTGATAATTTTCATCAAATCTTTACAATTTTCACCAAATCTTGACAATTTTTATAAAAATCTTGATCAAATCTTGATAACTTATAACAAATCTTGACAATTTTAATAACATTTTGACAATGTTTTGACAATTTTTCATCAATTCCAGATACGTTTCATCAAATCTTGACCATTTCCACAAATCATGATTTCAAAGCTTTACAATTTTCCTCAAATCAACAATTTTTATCCATTCTTGCCATCTTTCACCAAAGCTAGACAACTTCCATCAAATCATGACACTTTTCATCAAATTGTAGACATATTTTTAGATTTTCATCACATTCTGACACTTTTTTATCAAATCTTGACAATATTTTTGTCATTGTTCAACTGCCTTGACCATTAACTAAAACATGACGCTGTCTACTACCCTGTAGCCAGTGATTTGTGTGGGTACTCTGTCCCTGTGTGATGCACTAACAACCACTAACATTGTGTACTCGTGTGTTTAATCACCTGATAACTGTGATGTAATGCGTGCCGGGACTTTGAAAACAAACAAATTTTCTTATTTTTAAAAATAATTATATAATTAATTATAACTAAGGAGTTTCAAAACCATTCCCACTAGACTACAGCCGTCGTTGTTAACGAAACGACTGCCTTAATATAAGGAGAAAATACGGTAGCCTTAATTAATCAACCCCTGACGAAATAATTATAATATAATATATTGGTTATGTAATGATATATGTGTGGTTATTAGTCATCATGTTTTAATTGCATAATAATAATAATAATATACATACGTTATCTAAACAAATCCCTACATTAGTCATAATTTTTTTTTTAACTGCACACGTTGCATAACTTATCATCCTAAACGCAGTTCCCCATTAGCCACCAGGTTTTAAATACATAATAATAATAACATAGGCCTACATACATACGTTATCCAAACAAATCCCTACATTAGTCATAATTTTTTTTTACTGCATACGTCCATGACTTATCCTCTAAAAACGAGTTCCTCATTAGCCATCAGGTTTTTAATTACGCTAATCACATGACCTATTATCTAAAGTCACTCTGGCTTAAGGTGACCTCATCAGTGTATATAAATCCTAGTCGCGCGCTGGGGATGTGTGTGTGTTTTGTGAGGCGGAGGTGGGGGGTGTACAGGGTGTGGGTAGGGGGAGTGAAAGACCAGCCGAGTTCTAAAAGGGAGAAGGTCATTGATCCTGTTGTTGCTGAAAGTTATTGGATCGAGAACAAAAGAACTCGTGACGTCAGAAGGCACCATAAAAAAAAAGTGACTAATGTACCCGGTCAAAGTCAGAGATTGAAGAGTAGAATGTATAAAATAAAACACAAACAGTGCGGCCCAGCCGCTATCCTATTAGTCGAAATGAAATGCTAAAATCCAGTAACTGCGAATTTTTGCCTTTTCCTTTTTTTTAAACCTTTAACATTCCAAGGCATTCTTGTGTAAGAATAAAAATCACCCCAGGGTTTTAATTACGGTATTTTTTTTTTTTAGAAAATTCATCTTCTCACGTAGACATTTTAATTATAGATCTAGCCCTTCCGAATTTATCCAACGACGATTTGATCGTCTGCTGTAGTCTAGTTTACTAAATGCTACATCAGGACGCATGTAAATACACGCTACTCTACCCAGTTTTTTGTTTTGTTTTGCCTTGAATGTGAGTTTTTTCTTGTAATCTCAGATATTTTTAAAACGACACCTTTTGTGACGCAACGCTCTATTTATGAACAAATGACTTTTTTTCTGTGGAAAAGAGTTAAAAGAAATCAGTTATAAATAGATGTGTTTAAATTTTTTTTTAATGTTTTTTTTTACTCCCCTCTGTTTAGCTTCCAATCCAGGTTTCCGATCTGTATCTGCGCCTGTGGCCAAACCGCCGTCTGATAAACCCCAGCAGCAGTTAATGAAGTGTGGCGGATGTGACATGCTAGCCACGTAAGTATACAGACCCGAACCCCCCCCCCCCCCATTTTTTAAAATTCACACCTACTTATTTGGAAGTAGCCTAGACATGACAACACAATGTAAAACACTAACTTTTAGTCTAACATTGTTATGACTACTTGAGGGGATCTACAGTGTCGTAGGCAGGGAGCACCCATTCGAAATGTATTTTGAATATCATAAAGACATATATATATATATATATATATATATATATATATATATATATGTATATATATATATATATATATATATGTATATATATATATATATATATGTATATATATATATATATATATATGTATGTATATATATATATATATATATATATATATATATATATATATATATATATATATATATATCGCGAAAATTACCCCCCCCCCACCACCACCATGACTAATTTCCGGCCCATTCCACCGCCACCGTATGCTAAGCCTTAGAGTTAAGTTACAAGCTCTATTATCTGAACAGTGACGTCATGAGTTTGGGTAACTGAGGTATTTTTCTTTTCTTCCAGCGGAGTGATTGTGAAAGCTAACGGAGTACCCTATCACGTGGCCTGTTTCAAATGCACTTCCTGCTCCATGAATCTAAAGCAGAAAGGTAAATTCTAACACCTCCCCCCCCCCCGTTTTTCAGCCTTCCCCCGCTCACAACGCCATAAAAGAGATATAATCAGAGAGTCAATCTGTTCAAAGCTTATGTATGCAACTGTCTTGTAAAGGTTACTAAGAGTGGCAATTTCATATCAAAATGAATGGGAGAGGTGGCACGCTGTAGCTTGCAAGAAGTTACACTCATCAAATCAATTAGGGGATATAATATTATTTTTTTAAATAGTTTGTTTTATACTATAAAATTTATAGTATACGTATTTGACAAGTGGATCCTTGATGAGGCAAACCCATTTTTTTAAAAGTTGTAAATCTGTGAGCTGTCATTAATGGACTGTACATTTCTTATGCCAGGTTTCTTTGTGGTGGAAGGTAAACTATACTGTGAAACACATGCCAAGAGGCATGCACAAGCACCAGGACCTGATATGGTAGCCGTACCTGTGTACAGGTGAGGTTAAAGGGGCTACACCTTGTGCAGTCAGTTGCAGTACTACATTCCCAAGTTAGAACTGACCAAACTTTCCTATATCTATATATATATATATATATATATATATATATATATATATATATATATATATATATATATATATATATATATATATATATATATATATATTTTATATATATATATATATTTATATATATATATATATATATATATATATATATATATATATATATATATATATATATATATATATTTATATATATATATATATATTTATATATATATATATTTATATATATATATATATATATATATATATATTTATATATATATATATATATTTATATATATATATATATATTTATATATATATATATTTATATATATATATATATATATATATATATATATTTATATATATATATATATATTTATATATATATATATATATATATATATATATATATATATATATATATATATATATATATATATATATATATACATATATACATGTTTATGTATAAATAAACATCATATTTGTATTTATATAAGAGTATACATATATATGTATTTATATATCATGTATGCTAAATCTCTATTTTCAGATAATCTGTAGTGCCATCGACTAACTGTAGATAGATCGCCTAGTGTTCCAGAACAAGCCTCACCACCAAGTTTAGCCATAACCCATGTACACAATCAAATTTTGTTCCTGGCTTATGGACGAACTCTACTGCACCCATTAGAAACTTTTCGCCTCCTAATGATTCTGCTTTTTTTTTTCAACAAGGTTCTATACCAAGGTTTCTGACAGTGATAGTGGTACATCTATCACGTGTATGCGTTAGTGTTTGTGATATATCTCCAACTAGGCATTGTTAGTGGTACATCGATAACAATATCTTTTGTAGTGTTTGTGGTACATCTGTAACAATGTCTCTGGCAGAGTTAGTGCCATGGGCATGGAATCTGCCTTCCAGATAAAAAACTGAAGTTAAAAATAATTGGTTTTAGTTCTACCATCTTTCTGTTGGAACATTCTAGCAAAACCAAGAGGAACCAACTCCTCCTCCATCCCACCCCCCTCTCCCCCATGTTTAGCTGTGTCCAAAGAAAATGTTTCCCCTGTACTAACATGTCCCCACAAACGACCTTCACCTTTTAGTGATAAATAGCCTTCACTTTTATTCTTGGTAAAAAGAAAAATATGTATATTATCTTTATTTCATGAATGAAGTAGTGAAATGTTATTATAAATAAAACTTAGAATATAGAAATTTTTTGCTATTGCTTTAAAGAATTACTGTAATATATACTTTTAATATATGTAATTGTAACACTTTTAGTTTTTTAAATTGCCACTGAAAAATATGGATGTTCTAACCAGTTTGGAAATTACAAACTGTTTTAATTAAGAACTCATCAGAAATTCTAAGAAAATTTTTTCTACACATATTTTGTGTTGTGCCAAATAAAAAAAAAAAACCAAAAAACTTTTAAGGTGAACTTTCTGCATCTAGAATTTCTTGCTCCAGACTGTTCATTAACTGAGAGGTCTCAGTTATTTTATGTGATATACAGTAAAACATGGTTCAGTCATGAGGGTAAATCATGTATTGTTCATATCGTATTTACGTGTCTTCCTATTCAAATAGCAATATGTCCAGTACATAGCTAGCTGTTTATCATGACAAACAAAAAAAAATCTACTTTATATTACTCGCGAGTCTTCATTGTTTATTATCTATTTTATTATCTACTTTATTGTCTATTTATTTCAAGAATGTAGTGATAGTACGAATCCAATTTTGTTATTTATACAATTATCAAAGCCAACATTAGACGAAATCGCCGATTGTGTTGAACTCTGATTTTTCGCATCACATTAACTCACTTATTTCTGCATTCATGTTGAAAGCCTTATCTATTTGTTTTAACAAATAAACATTTTTACTCGACCCGTCTTGTTTTTTTTTGTCAGTGTGTTGTCACAGGGGCGAAGCGAGGGGGGGGGGGGGGGTGCGGACCGCACCGGTGACACCATTTAGGGGGGGGGGGTGACACCAAGACAAAAAATAGCAAAATATATAGAGAAAAACTTGAGGGGGGTGCAAATCGAAAGTTTGAGGGGGGGGGGGTGCCAATCGAAAACTTGAAAGTTTGTCCCCGGGAAGGGTCGCTACGCCTCTGGGGGGTGACACCATTAAGTGCCGCACCGGGTGACACCCGACCTCGCTACGCCACTGTGTTGTCATGTAGGGAGTCTGTTATGGATAGCGGAATTATAAGAAAAATCCGTACAGAAACAAAAATACGACACACGGAAACCAGATGCTACTTTATAAATGACGGCAGACGCATAGATGGGAAGGGGTTCAGTGTTAACAATGTGCAAGGTGGGGGAGGAGGGGTGGGGGATCAACGAATGTGACATAGCATTTAATTTGCATTTATTAAGGATAAACAATGAAAACGACAATTCCCTTTAGAATAATGGCCTATTTGAGGTTTGTGATAAGAAGTGCTGGGTTGCGATGAAATGTGATGGTAAACAAAAGTAAAAGTTAATATTCTTCTTTAGCGATCCATTGGGCAGATCAAGTAGATGTCATGTTTCTTGACCACGGCATATGAAGGGATTGTGTTTAGCACTATGCCAGGCCGCCTTTACTTTCCCCAACGCAAGTCAGGTAGCCATCAGAACTGGGTGAAGTCAGGGAAGTCCTACAGTCACAAGTCCAAAACGAGATCCAAACTGAACTTTAGGGTTAGCAGCCAAACGCACTACCATTCGACCACGCCGTCCCAAAAGTGTGATTAAAGGACGGGAAATAACCGGCTAAAATGTGTAATGTCGTTGATGAACGACCCCTGATAATAATTCTTAATACTAAAAAAATGGGAAAAAAAAACGCTCCCGTCTGCTGAAAAAAAAAAAACAACGAAAAACAATGAAATAAAGGTTGTTAACTTCTTCTTCCTCGTTTGTACTTGTAATGTTGGACGGGATTTCCTCTAACTTAATCACGTTGTCTGGTGCTGGCGTTAACACATTCAAGTATTTTAAGTCTGTTAAAGGTCAAGGTAACACAATACATAATCTTGTGGGCACATTTAAGATGGGGTGTGTTAAGAGAGTTTTGTAATGTAGAAGTCGACACATCATACATACATTACATCAACCAATTAGCCTCTGCTATCTTTTAATTTCAATAATCTTTAAAGTAGTTAAAGTGATATGGCTCTATAGTCTAATAATCCATCGGATGATTGTGCACCGGAAATTCAAGCACATAGCCTGGCCTGGGCCCTAAGTTGAGAAAAGCCAGATGCTGCCCATGTATCAGCCCCCCCCCTCTCTCTCCACACAGTTAAATTTATATGTTTAAAATAGTCAAGGACAAGTATCCCATATCTAGATCAGTGTACATCGAGAAAGGGAAAGATGGCTGGGGGGGGGGGGGTGCAAACAAACCAGGAAACAACATTACTTGATAAACATCAGACAGGAAACAACAGGGCTATATAACAACTGGGAACTAGCACTGATTTAACCAGTAGAAAAAAGTCATAGTTGCTGCAAGGACATTGTTGGAGTGGTATGATCATGTTGACATGGTTAGAGTAATAGGGATATAGTTACGTCGTGGGTAGAGTGGCATGAATAGAGTGACTTAGATGGAATGACTTAGAATAGAGTGACATGGATAGAGCGGCTTAGAGTGTCATGAATATATTGACTTATGACTTAGTAACTAGTAAATTAGTGACATGGATATAGTGGCATTAGATGGAGTGACATGGCCGAAGATATAGAACGTATGTGAGAGTGGAGATGTGCACCTCGGAGAAATGCCTGAAAGAAACTCTGTAGGAGTGACCCCTGTGTCTGCCCACGAGCACATCCACAACGAGCTATCAGCCCAGCTCCGTTGTGATTTGTCTGTTCTTTTTCATTTGCTGTATTCAACATTAGGGTCACCCAGTGCAGTTTGCAAGCACCAGACTTACATGTGTTATTATCTGATACATCTAGTTGTAGGTCATCGTGCCGAAATCACAAATTATTAAACTAATTTTCATGGATTTTTATTACAAATGTATTCTTTATATGATTACTACTAAATTAGGGCCCTATATATACATATTATCAATTTACATGTATAAATTTTAGCATGCTCTAATGATTTATAATAAGTTTTAAAATATTGTTTCATACAACAACACAAATGAGTCTTCCTGAACTACTCAAAAAGAAGGAAATCCTAGCTTTGTTTCTACAACAAGGGAGGTAATCGCAGAAATAGAGTTTATTTTCTGGTGAGCATCGTTTATCTTTCAGCTGACCCACTTTTTAACGAGTTGATTTGTTTGTATACTATGGGTTTACGAAGGATGCATTAAACATTTTTATTATTTACATATTTTCTTTAATCTAAATTAGTACTACACTTTAGACTCTAACACAAATGTAAATTAGCAGTTCAAACAACAGAGTTATTGTTACTAGAACTCCATAAATAGAGCTATACAATCGAGGAATTCCCTCTAGAGCCGTGTGCAAAAATTGTTCGTGGTCTCGGGAAAGTTCATCTGTTGATCTGTTTTAGGGCTGGGCTACCCTCAGACATTGTTTGTGTGTGCAAGGGACTAACTTCTTTTCATCATTACACCTACTGTGGTCAACTTAATTCGTGTTTTTTTTAAATAACTAAAATATAATTCAAAACATGTCTGTTCTTACGTTAGAAGCTAAACTTGAAAGAACAGACAGCTCTACACCATGGGGATTTCGAATGCAAGGCGGAAAGGATTTCAGTAGTCCTCTGACTATTCAGAAGGTACGTTACAAGATCGTCAACATAGTTTATCGTGGCCAATGTGTGGGTGCCGCAAACAATGGATGTGCTTGCTCGAACGTTTCGAGAATTTGCTTACCTGGCTAGAGACATGCTCGCTACCTTTCCGATACTTACGGGCGGTGTAGGCGTTGGTTACATTGATTACAACTAAAATAGCCACTGGCTACTTTAAATTTAATACACAAAGACGATTGATCAACAATTAGAATTTAATCATATTACTAATTTTAGATCAGTAATGAAATGATATATAAATAATGTATTTTTACAACTTATTTTTTTTTAGTTTAAAACGGGCTTATATAATTAGTAGGCCTGCATTATTAGACCTAATTAAATTTTTTGTTAAAAATTAACCCAAATCTATAAAATAGGCCGAGACTAATTATTTTTTAAAGTAAAAATCTCAGTATTACCGTCAAATTATCATACAATACGATTAGCCTATAGATCTAGCTCTAGAATCTTGATTTCTATCACTAAACAAACATTTATTTGGCCAACATAATTATACCGGCTGGGCTTTCTATTCAAAGGCCTGTGGATTCATTCTGTCTGACTGGTTCTTTACTCTGAGTCACTGGCCTGAATAGAATTCGTCACAAAGATTCGATTAAAAAAACCCCAAACAAACCAAGTAGTTAACGTTGGCCTATAACTCAAATATAATAGGGGATTAGTGATCCACATAAATTACAGGCTTTGTGTGTAACATATTGTCCAGGAAATAACTCATTGAGATGGAATTTCTAGTATGTTTTTTTTGTGTGTGATTTGTTTTTCTACACACCTGTTGTTGACATCATCATGTGTTGAGATTAGAGCACAGCTGAATGTCTGATCTGAGAGAAATAGATTGCATACTATAGACTGAACGTGATCTATTGCCTTCAATAGACTGAATGTCTGATCTGTGAGAAATAGATAGCTTACAATAGACAGAATGTGATCTATTGCCTTCAATAGACTGAATGTCTGATCTGAGAGAAATAGATTGCTTACAATAGACAGAATGTGATCTATTGCCTACAATAGACTGAATGTCTGATCTATTAGAAATAGATTGCCTACAATAGGCTGAATGTCTGATCTATTGTTTACAATAGACTAAATGTCTGATCTGTGGGAAAATAGATTGCCTACAATAGACTGAATGTCATATCTATGAGAAATAGATTGCCTACAATAAACTCAACGTCTATCTATGCCTATAATATCACAAACAATAGACTGAAATGATTCTTCCCTGTATTCAATTTGACATCTAAACTGCCTTGACTACAATTAGGTTAGCCATACCACACTGCCTAATATGACATGGCTTCACTGATACTCTTACTAGCCCTAATCCTAACCTGAGCTCGACATTTAAATGTTAGGAGTAATATACCTGTTATCTCTCAGATCATAAACTCTCAATAAAAATGTCACAGCTAACCCCTGTAAATGTGTCTTACATGAGGGACTAATCAGTTAGTGATTATCATTAGCATACACCATACAGGTCAAGCCGATAGCTGACTGACCTCTGGTGAGCTAAATGGACACAGGGACATTGTTATCTGAGGCTGGTGGGGGGGGGGGGGGGGAGAGAAAGGAGATAAAACTCTGATCTTGTCCAGAAATTGGGACATGTCATTAATAATTTGCATAAAAAGTTCTGTATTTTGGCACTTTAAACCCAAACCCCCATTTGTTGGGGCTTATCTGGAGAACACCATTAAACTTAAACTCCACCATGTACTCCCAAAATGACAACCGTCTAGCGTTTAGTGAGAGCTATTGGCGGCGAGCTGCTTTTACTTTCAAACACCTGAACGTCTTAACTAAAAGATCACGTTCTTACAATAGTTAGGGAATATTAAAGTAAAATTACCGTGGGGCAGGTGAAGTAGAGTTCTCCTGCTATTGTGACCTCTGCATATGAAGGGCTATTGTGGTTAACACTATACCCAGCGCCTTTACTCTCCCTAACGTGAGTTAGGTACCCATCAGAGCTGGGTGGACTCAGGGAGGTCCTACAGACTTGAACCCGGATTCGAACTCGACAGGCCACGCCGTCTCATGATATGAAATATAACTGGTCATTGTTATGCCCTTCTCCCTCCATTACCCAACCCTTCCTACACCACTGGCACTAGCTAGAACTACGTGAGTCATAGCTACATTTGGTTTATATCTGTAAGAGCTAAAAACCACTAAAAAAAACATACCTTTACATTCTAGTAGATATGCCACTAGTTAACGTAGTTTTAAAACGCCGGTTATCTAATACATCAGGCCACACGATACCAACTTTTCCTAGTCAGTGAATATAAACAATTTTCTCAACTGTACAACATAAGATTACCTGGTTCGGTTTAATGTTCAAATATAAAAAACATCAGTTTATTACGTAGAGTAGACCTAGTGCAGATTTACAAGGGAAGATATTTTTTGTTTACACAACACCTCCAACATATGATTACAATTTTATAAAATGTAGACTAATATAATTATCTTTTAATTAACATTCTTTTGTTGAAGTTAATGAGCATGACCTAGCCAGATAAATTGTTCCTACTGGAACTAATGACGTCGAGGAGTCTATGGGAGTGAGCTCGCACGCTGAACGAAGGCTTGATGGCAATCAATTATGAGGCCCATAAAGCGCGTAATTAATGCAAATCTGCTGTAATTACATGGAATTAATAAAAACATTGGAATACATTATAAAGTTCTCGGTATTTCTTCACGCTTTAGCCGGTCCGTATCGGAGTTTTGTTTTAATCTAACTGTGGTTTTGACTCTAATGCTAACTATTATTAGAACAATACCGACGGAATTTAAATGCCAGATGCGACATTGTATTAACCCAAGGGGAGAAAATAGAAATAGATCTAGTACAGCACATTTTTTTCGGCATACTATGCAGTTGAAATTTTTTTGGGGGGGGGGGGCGGTGTTGGGAGGACTAAAATTACTGGGGGGGGGGGGCACTGTTAAAAGTATATATTTCCTATATAAATTCCATTTTGTACGGGGGGGGGGTGCGGTAGAAATGCCTGGAAGAAACTGATACTATGTGTTTACGATATAACCGATGTGTCGACGATACAACAATGTAACCGGTGAGTCAACGATAAAAACCGACTAGGCGAGACACTGTGGTTTTAATTACGATAGTTCAACTCACAAATTGAAATGGGATGCTGGCCAACAGCTGTACTAAAATAGCAAACGTTGTAGCCTGTCTAGTAGCGCTACATGTTATCTTGATGTAAGCTACTTTATCCATGTGTTAGGCTTAGCGTTAAATTTACTGTCGTGTTTAGGGATAGCAGTGATATGATCTAGATTTACAACCCTAAAGATAGACGATTTCTTCTCCATGTCACTCAGCTTTTAATCGATACCCGGCATTACTTGGGAGGTGAATCAGGCCGACTGGACACGCATTCGCTTCACATTGTTTTTAAATCAACAAAATGCTTTAGTTTCATACAGGTTTGAAGTTTAGGGTACTATTATGTTTGTTTTCAACAAAGGCTAACCCAGCATTTCAGCATATTACAAGCGTATGTTTCTGCCGGTTTGACTGTTACAATACTCGCATAACTGGTTTCGCTGCGCCCTTGGCAGGTCAGGTTTGCACAGCGGTGCACATGCTGTGTTGTTACGTGTGATCAGACCGTGGTGCGGTCCTGCATATTGACCAGGTACCTGTTGCATCTTGTGAGGCTGTAAACTTGTTTTAAAATCGCTACCAATCAACCAAGGAATGAATGGGGCGCCTGGAGTTTACCAGTTTAATGAGCTGTGTAAAGTTGCGCCCTCCCTCCCTTCCCTCTAACCCTCCCTCCCCCACCCACAGGTAAATACGAGGCTACCTGTGCAGACAATACCCAGACCTATTTTCACCTGGCATAGCAGGTAAAATGCCGAGCCCCCCTTCCTAAAAAAAAAAAAAAAAACACCAACGTTCAAGACGTGTTGGCAAAAACTGTTACGTCAGCGAAAATTTTCTTCACTATAAAAAAATGTGTCTATAGAAACGATAGAGTGGGAGTAACGTAGATGAGGGGGAGGGGGGACAAGCAAACGTAGAGGAGTGGTGGAGGGGGGGGGGGAGGACAAGCAAACGTAGGAGAGTAGGGAACGGAGGACAAACAGTTGGCGGTTTGATTAATTATGTAAAAGTCCTGTTGGTTTAGTTGGATCCCGTTACATCGTTAAGGATTAGCTCGGACGGTAATAGGAACATGATGTATGCGATTACCCATGTTAGACTCAGTGTTATAATTAAAATTATTACCTTATTTTTTGCTTATTGCACGTCGACAATCTATAAATAAATAATGTATTGGAAACATATGTACAGTTACTGAAATCGAGCAGTGGGCTGATTGTGATTTAATATTTAACTTACAAATTGGAAAATATAAAATCTACGCACTATTTGTTTACCCGTACCGACATTTATCATGACTCTATAAAACGGTAGTATTCAATGCAAATGTTTATTGTTTTAGAACCTCCACCCTAACCGTAAACCCTACCATGTCCAACACTGTATAAACGATGTGAAAGAATGTACGACAGAGATCTTAACCACACCCTCAGCCAGAGGCGTAGCGAGGGGGGGGGGGAGGGGGCGGGGGGTGCGGACCGCACCGGGTGACACCATTTAGGGGGGGGGGTGATACCAAGGCAAAGAATAGTGTTTTAAGAGGTGCAAATTGAAAATTTGAGGGGGGGGGGGGAGGGTGCAAATCGAAAGTTAGAGGGGGGGGGGGCGCAAATCGAAAGTTTGAGGGGGTGACACCATTAAGTGCCGCACCGGGTGACACCCGACCTCGCTACGCCACTGCCCTCAGCCCTAAATCCAACCGTAGTGTTATGTGGTAAACGGAAGTAAGAAAGACTACAACACACTTGTAACACTTTTTGGATTTCTATAATTCTAAAACGAAACGATATTTTCTCATTAAACTAATTTC